CCAGACATATGAAGAACATAGGAGATTGTTTTCACATACAGTACACAATTAGTACTTGTCAGAAATTCCTGCAACTCCTATAATGCTTTTGTAGGCCTCTTGGCAGCATCTTGGACCAGTTTTCTTCTTCTTTTCATTAGTTTTGGAGGGACATCTAACTGTTGGTAATGTCACTATTGTGCCATATTATCTCCACTTGTTGATGACTGTCTTCACTGTGTTCTATGATATATCCAATAGCTCAGAAATTATTTTGTACTCTTCTGCTGGCTGATAGATTCCTACAATGAGAGCCCTTTGATTTTTTTCCTGCTCTTTGCAGATCATGGCTTTTGCTGTAAGAGGCAACTGAGTAAATGTCAAAAATCCTACTAGAACAGCTGTACTTTATACAAGATAGATTAGAGACATTTACATTGATGCAGGTGTGTACTGGTTACTAATTTCCATCAGTTTGAATGTGATTTGTTAATTCTGAATGCAACATATCCCTACTTACAGGAAAGTGGGCATAGTTATGCAACAAATTTATTCTATATTTTATTGTTATGTTTCCCCGTAAAGGATTTCAGTTACATTTTCAACTGAATTGTACAGCTTTTAGGCAATATCAATATTCCTAGAGAATATTTGATAGAGTTTGCCAACTGATGGTGCAACTACAGATATTTTGGTTTCTACACTACACTAATTACAGACTTACCTCCCACCACATTTGATTGTGAAACTGTTTCCTTCCTTTTTTCACTATTGCTTTTTCCCTGGATTTGGATAAATACAGAGATTGCAAAGCATGTGCCACAACATGGACTGCATTGTAAATATTGTAACTCTGATCGCTCATGCGTGTTTCAAACACAGATATGGGAAGGGTCTCAAGCCTCTCCTCTCCACTACATTTCTTCTCAGACCTCTCCATTTTTGAGTTTGCAAAGAAACAATCAAATGCCTGTTCCCAAAAATCTTTCCAAAAATGATCATGTTGGTTGTTTTTTGGACTTAAGTTCTGAAGAAATTCCTGGAAGTCTTGGACCTCCTTTGAGTGAACTGCAAAAGATAAAGCACCATGTAGAAAATGGATATCCAAAGATTTTTGACAGGAAATTGAAGTGTATTCTGTCTGAGCTGTAATAAGCCAGATCTTATTCTTCCTTGGTACATCCTCCACTTCTGAAAACAGGAGGAAACTTCTCAGAGCTGATAAGGAGTAAATGTTACCATATAAGATGATCACATTAGCTGTGCTGCTCATGAGAACATGGTATATATGTAATCCTTCATCTATGATATCAGTAAAATCCGTGTAAAAAGCTACATTTGGGAACTCTGCTATGAATTCAATGCAGATGCCATGCTCAGAAAATGTTGGGAGTATCTCCTTGAGAAATTTCTCTCCTTTTTCATCTTTTACTACAAGAATTCCAATCCAGATCCATCTAAAATATAGCAATAACTGCAGAAGGCCATTACGTTGGTGGGATTCATTTGGAAACATTTGTTGGAAGAAAATTGACTGAGTCTTTCCATCCATGACTTGAGCTGAGCCATAGGACAACTACTGAAAGATAAACATATGCAATTCCTAAGGTGTATGTGAGCCTTTGAAAACATGAATTTTCATTTGAGTCTTTGACTACTGTTGAGTTTATATAATTAAATACCAGTCAATTTTATTTTGTAATATCAGTCAAGATGTCACTTTTAAGGTATCACTAAATATCTTTCCCTGGAAGTAATTTCATTGTCAATATTTTAGATTTGAACCTTAGTTCAGTTTCTAGAATTGGAGAACAATTTGCTAGGTTAAATATCCCCACTGTCTGTTCAGAGTTAGAGTTATTGATGCTACTATGGTGATCCTACCAAGCAGAAAATAATAACTAAGAATCTGAAACTTCTCTTCTTTTTACAAAGAAAAGCATACAGATGTCTGGGGAGGTATGGCAGAATGATAATGTAAATGTTCAGTATATTTTACCTGAGGAACTTTGTAGATGCACAATATAGTTGCCATGTGAAGAGCAATGTCAGGTCCCCCAATGACTGCAGCCAAAATTTTTGGGATCCCACACTTGTAGTTAGGGATGAATTTTCCCTGAGTGAAAGGCAGCAACATTGAGGCAAAGTAAGTCCAGCCTGGACTAAAATGGCTGTTAAATATATTGAAGCCCAGTGTGACATTGGGTAGGATTTGGAAGTTTTCATTAATCTGTTGTACAGTAAACACTAAGGCCAGGATATGCTGGTAATTCTGAAAATATATTCTGTAAAACCAAAAAAATCTCAGTTAAGAATGCATTAAGAGTCATTTGTTTCCTATTATGGCTTTTCAAATTTTACAGTACATCATTTTTTGTGGAATGTGTTTCAGTACAGTATTTTTATTATTCATCTAAGATACAAAGATACAAAGCAAAATATTACATACTACATATATACTCTCCCAAGAACTGGATTTTATATTTAATACAAATCAAATACTGGATTCAAATTGGAAGCATTATTTCTTAACACATGAGAAAGGCCAGGTATTCAACCTCAGTTTTTTAATATGCATGAAATTACTAAATTTATGTACCAGAAATATATGCCCCCCCCCCCAAAAAAAAAGTTTTAGTGGTAGATTCTTTGGAACCATGGTTGCACAGTGGTTAAAATGCAGTTTTATAAGTTAATTCTGCAAGCTGCCAGGAAATTTATCCTGACCACCTCAAGGTTGACTCATCCTTCTATACTTCCAAGGTCAGTAAAACGAGGACCTAATATTTTATGGAAAATATGTTGATGTTATAAACTGCTCAGAGATTGCTGTAAAGCACTGCAGAGCAGTGTATAAGTTTAAGTGCTATTGCTATCTTCATAAATGAAGACATACATTACTCTATATTTATACATATTTAGATGGGATTTTTTTTTTTTTTACAAATGGAGATTTGGCCCTTTTTCAACTTTACATGGAAACCAAAACAGAATATATTTTCACATAAAATAAATCTAGCATCCTGTTTAAGGTGCTTCTTTCCGAAGATTTTGTCATTAAAGAAAAACACTTGAAGCCTCATGTCATTTAACAGCGATGTCCAGAATCTGACAATGAAATGCTGTTGTACTTACATAAGTCCATCATGAAATCCCTGAGAAGGATTCTGACTGAAATCAATGGGTTTAGAAAATGTAAAAAATACAGAAATAATGCCAGCAATGTTAACATCTCCATGCTGATGGTATGTGTTGTGAATAGGAACAGGCTCATGAAAGCCACACTGAAGGTGAGGATCTTTGCACACCACTTGAGGCATTACAATCTTTGAAGTAGATCAGTTTGCCCTGTATTCTTGAAATGCTTTTCAAAGAGAAATAGAGAATGTAACATACTATCAGATCAACTCACAAAGCTTTGGGTCTTCCATCCATGGGAAGGAATATCATGGGAACAACAAATAACATCCTTCAGCGTCAGTTCCTCCTTTTTCCAAAGAGACCCATAGGATTTGAAGGAGACAAACAAGCTAATTTCACTATGATAGTGACACTGTTACCTATGTAAACAACTTAAAACCATCTGAAAGCCTCCTGAGGCAAAAAGGAATGAGCCACAAGATCAAAATAAAATATTGGGATCTATAAACCAAAATAGAGATATAAATATAGAGATAGGTATAGGCATTGATTATAGCTACTGTAGATCTATTCCAGGGCTTTTCAACCTTTTCACCCATTGTACCACTTTTAGGATATGGCAATATCCGAGTACACCAGGCGCCTAGCAAGGTGTCAAAAACTTGATGACCAAAAAAAAAAAAGAAAAAAAGAAAAAAAGTGATAAAGTACAGGTAGTCCTCGACTTACAACAGTTCGTTTAGTGACTGTTCGAAGTTACAATGGCACTGAAAAAAGTGCCCCCCAAGCCACAGCCGAGCAATACATCTGCCTGCCCACCCAGCGGCGCTCTTCCCCCTGTCTGAGGTTTTCATTGTTGTGAGCATTTTTGTTGAGGATTGGCAGTGGGGGTGGGGTGGGGGGATGTTTGGTTTTTATTCTCCCCATCTGCTGGGTGGTTGCAAAAGGTTTTGGTCACTTCACATGACCCTGGGACACTGTGATCGTTATAAATATGAATCAGTTGCCAAGCATCTGAATGTAAATCACAAGACCCTGGAGATGCTGCAACATTCCAGCTGATCGGTGCTTCTTCTAGGCTCAGCAGAAGTGCCAGGATCAGTGTTGCTTTCCAGCTGATTGGTGCTTCTTCAGGGCTCAGCAGAAGCACCAGGATCAGTGGCGAGCTCCAGCTGGAGCCTGGTGCTGATCCTGGCACTTCCACCGAGCCCTGACAGCCCTGAAGAAGCGCTGATCCTGGCGCTTCTGCTGAGCCCTGATAGCCCTGCAGCTCCAGCCATCTCTCGGTCAGGCTTGTGTGGTGCTGCCACCAGTTCAGCTCATTCCCCTCCATCACTACCATTTTTTTAGGATAGTCACATACCACCTGCCAGGTGCCAATGTACCACAGGTGGTACCCGTACCACTGGTTGAAAAGCCCTGATCTATTCTATTCTATTCTATTCTATTCTATTCTATTCTATTCTATTCTATTCTATTCTATTCTATTCCATTCCATTCCATTCCATTCCATTCCTCCAGTACATGATACTGTCCCCCACTCTCTACACCATTTCAGACAGGTGGCTATTCAGTCTCTTCTTAAAAACTTCCCATGTTGGATCATTCACACCTCCTGGAGGCAAGTCTTTCCATTGATTAACTGTTCTAAGTGTCAGGAAATTTCTCCTTAGTTCTAGGTTGCTTCTCTCCTTCGTTATTTTCGATCCGTTGCTTCTTGTCCTGTCTTCAGATGCTTTGGAGAATAGCTTGACTCCCTCTTCTTTGTGGCAACTCCTGAGATATTGGAACACTGCTATCATGTCACCCCTAGTCCTTCTTTTCATTAAACTAGACATACCCAAGTCCAGCAAAAATGTTCACTTTACTTGCGTCTATATTTAGATTTTAGGAAAAGCCAGAGACTTTTTTCTTAATGCTTTCCAAACTGCTTCTTTCACTTCGTTATTCCTAATGGTGTAAATGAAAGGATTCAGCATTGGGACAACTATAGTATTCACCATAGAAACGATCTTCATCCTACTGAAAGAAGAGTTCTTGACGGTAGGTCTTAAATAGACAAAACAGACTGACCCATACAACATGCAGACTACAACCAGGTGGGAAGCACAGGTAGAGAAAGCTCTCTGCTGTCTGGTGGCTGAAGGCATTTGGAGGATGGTCGAAATGATGAAGAGGTAAGAAACAAGGGTGAAGAAAAGGGAGGACATTACCACCATCACCATAATTAAGAACCCCAGTGCTTCAATGACTCTAATATCTCCTCCTGCAATCTTCAACACAGGTCCCACGTCACAGTAGAAGTGATTGATAATGTTGGATGTACAGAAAGGTAGGTTTGCCACCACTATTTCCTGGTAAAGAATGGAGAAAAAGCTTCCAAACCAGGCTGCCATTGCTAGTTTCAGGCAGACCCCAGAGGTCATGATGGAGGTGTATCTCAAAGGATGGCAAATGGCTAAGTATCTGTCCAAGGATATGAAAGTGATGATAAAATATTCCGTGACCCCAAAAAAGAAGTAAAAATACAGCTGGGTAATGCAGCAGTTGAAACAGATGGAATTCTTTGCTGAGAGATAGTTTACCAGCAATTTAGGGATAAAGGTTGTGGTGTGTCCAATGTCAATGCAAGAAAGGTTGCTAAGGAAGAAATACATGGGCTTCTGGAGATGGCGGTCCACAATTACCATGACAATGATGAGCCCATTGCCCATCAGACACAGGATGTAGATCAGAAAGATGCTTGCATACATCACATTTTCCATACCCCAAACACGTGGCAATCCAACAAGAAAAAATTCAGTTGCTCTTGTACAGTTGGTAAAATTCATGTTCCCCTTCTGTTACAAAGAGAGAAAATATGAAACCTTCATCAAAACAACATTTAGCTACATTTCAAAAAACTTCTTTTGAGTCATTACTATTGTAACTGGAAATCAGAAAAGAAAACATAACTTGAGGGGGTCCTTGGTGCTCTCTGAGCATGCTTGTTTTCTTACAAACGTTTCATTACCCTAACTAGGTAACATCATCAGTGCTAGAGTGATGCTAGAACTGATGATGTTACCTAGTCAAAGTAATAAAACGTCTGCAAGAAAACAAGCAAGCTCAGAGAGCACCAAGGACCCCTCATTTCAACCCTGAGCTACAAATATTCTCCTTCATTGGTAAAATGTAACATGACATGACATGACTAACATAACATAACACAGCATAACAACTCAGAGAACATAAGAGAAACAATGTTGATTAGGGGCCTGGAGACCAAAACATATGATGAATGGTTGCAGGAACAAGGTATTTCTAGTCCAATGAAGAAAGGAATGATGGGTGCCATGTTAGTAGTCTTCCAATATTTGAAGGGCTGAGAGAAGAACTTAAAAAATTGGAACTAGAGTTACAAATAGACCCACAAAAGAAAATCCTCAAGAAACAAATGAAGATAATAAAACATAAACTAAACCTGGCTGAGATGGAAATAATGGCTCAACAGATTAAACGGACTAAACAGAATTTCTTTGAAAATACCAATAAGCCAGGGAGATGGTTAGCATATAGATTGAAGAAAGAGAAAGAAAAAAGAATGATAAATAAACTACAAGATTCAAAAGGAGAATTACAGTTCCACAATATTGCAATGGAAAAAATCATTAAAGATTACTATTACACTTTATATGGCATAGGAAGTTCCTAAAGAGAAAATACAGTCGTACTTAAAAGAAACAGATTTGCCAAAAATCCCAGAGAATATTTGAAATATACTAAATGAGAAAATATCAATAAAAAGACAAAAAAAAAGATAAGACTCCGGGTCCAGATGGACTTCCTGCAGAATTCTACGTAGCATTACAAGATATATTAAGTCCAAGGTTGAAAGAACTGTGTAATGAAATCTTTTCGGAGACTAAAATACTAAAGTTGTGGACTGAAGCTAACATTACTCTGATACCCAAAGAAGATACTGACCTTATGCAAATAAAAAACTACAGACCAATATCGCTATTAAATGCAGACTATAAAATTTTTGCTTTGATAATGGCAGAAAGAATTAAGAAATTATTGACTGAATTTATACATACAGATCAAAATGGCTTTTTACCTAAGAGCTTAAGAATGATTTTGGATGTTTTAGAGTACTATGAAAATCGCCCAGGGAAACAGATGGCATTAATATTTCTTGATGCGCAAAAAGCTTTTGACAACTTAAATTGGCAATTTATATTCCAGCAGTTGATGGAAATGGACTTCGGGAAAAACTTTATAAATGCAATTCAAGCAATCTACTATAAACAAAGGGCTAGAATAATTCTAAATGGAGATTGTACAGAAAACCTTGATATCAAAAATGGTACAAGACAGGGATGTCCACTATCCCCACTGTTATTTATATTAACATTGGAAGTATTGACCAGAAATATTAGACAAGATATAGAAATTAAAGGACTGGAGATAAAAGAAAAAAATATATAAACTACAAGCTTTTGCGGATGATTTGGTTTTTATCTTGGAAGAGCCCCTTGAAACAGCCACTAAACTGTTGGAGAAAATAGAAAAGTTTGGAGAAGTGGCAGGTTTGGAAACAAATAGAGAAAAGACTAAAGTATTAACAAAAAACCTAACATAAACAGAAAACTCAACTTACAAAAAAGACAAATTTACAAATAGTTTAAAAAGTTAAGTATCTAGGAATCTACTTAACAGCAAGATGTACAGTATAACATAAAAAGAAGATAACTATGAAAGATTGTTGAAACAAATAAAATTGGACTTGGAAAAGTGGAAAAATCTTCAACTGTCACTATTAGGAAGAATAGCCACAGTGAAAATGAATATTTTACTGAAAATATTTTTCTTCTTCTTTTTCCCTCCAAATATTTTATTAAGTTTTCCGAAAATACTCTTCTTATTCCAAATGATCCCTGTAAAATTGGGAAAGGTCTTTTTTGATGATCTAAATGCAACAATATTGAGATTTATTTGGCAAGGGAAGAAAGCACGAATTAAAGTGAAAATATTACAAGAAGATAAGAATAGTGGAGGATTTGGACTCCCGGACTGGAGACTATATTATCAAGCAGCCATCTTACCATGGCTTAAAGAATGGATAACACTGAGAAATAAAAGACTATTGTACCTAGAGAGGCATGACCTACACATTGGTTGGCATGCCTTCCTATGGTACAAGAAAAATAAAACACATAGATACTTCCAAAACCACTTTATAAGGAATGTACTCCTTTCAGAATGGGAAAGAATAAAGCAGAAAATTTATATTAAACTACCTGAGTGGCTTTCAACAATGGAAGCTTTTGCTTACCCAAATTTAATTAACTATGACAAAGTCGTCACCTATAAAGATATCCTGGATAAGGAAGGAAAATTGAAAGACAGACAAGATCTACAATGACAAGGTATTGACTTAGCATGGTGGCCATATTTGCAAATTCAAACAAGATATAAAAAAGATGCAAAGACAACAGGATTTTATAAAGAACAGACAGAATTTGATCAAATATTATTAAAAACAGATGAAAACCTGATCAAGAAACTTTACAGATTTCTACTAAACTTGAAGATGGAAGAACAAGAAAAAAACAATGATAACATGGGCAAAAAACTTTGGATATTCTATAGTTTTGGAAGACTGGCAAAAATTATGCGATAGAAATATCAAATTGACTAAAGCAGTTTCATATAAAGAAATTTGCATAAAATGTTTTATAGATGGCATATGACACCAGTAAGATTAGCTAAAATGTTTAAAAATACTTTGAATTATTGCTGGAAATGTAAACAAAGGCAAGGTACTTATTACCATATCTGGTGGGTATGCCCTAAAGCGAAAAAGTTTTGACTTAAGATACATACATGGCTGGAAAAGATGACTAAAATACAGATAGAATTTAAACCAGAACTGTTTTTGTTAGGAATATTAGGAGCTAAGTACGAGAAGGAGAAGGAGTATTTAATATTGCATATATTGACAGCAGCGAGAATAGTATTTGCCCAATACTGGAAAAATGAAAACTTACCAACTGACGAGATCTTGATTAAGAAAATTTTAGAATGTGCAGAAATGGATAGACTAACCTTAGAGATTAAAGAGAAAGAAGATTCAGTTTATTTTAAAACATGGGATAAATTTTACCAATGGTTAGGAAAACGAACTAGTGAGAAATGAACGTGATATGTTATTTTGAATATATATTAGTAAGAAAAATGATATATATTGACTAACTGATACTGTTTATGATTATCGTTTATCATATTCACTACAGCTATTTACTATTATATTAATTAGTGTTAACTGGAACATATGTACCTGGACAATAATCTGTTTGCTAAAGCTTGAAAATGTTACTAGGGGGCAACCCCAATGTTGTTCCCAATCCTGTTCCAACTCCATTCCCGATCCTAACCCCACCCCGAACCTTAATCCCTATCCTGGTCCTATCCCTTCCCCAACCTTATAAAACTCAATAAAAACCTTTATAAAAAAAATATTTGAAGGACTGTCCTAGAGAAGAGAAGGTAGACCTTTACTCCAAAGCACTTAAGGACAGGACAAGAAGTAATGGATGGAAAATTTTCAAGGAGAGATCTATCCTAGAACTAAGAAGAAATTTCCTGACAATGAGAGCAATTAATCAGTGGAACAACCTGCCTCCAGAAGTTGTGGGTGCTCCATCACTGGAGGTTTTTAAGAAGAGATTGGCCAACCATTTGTCTGAAATGGTATAGGGTTTCCTGCCTGAGCAGGGAGTTGGACTATAAGTCCTACAAGGTGCCTTCCAACTCTGTTATTCTATATTCTGTAAGATTTAATTTTCAAATCAAGTTAAAGACAGTTGTGCATACTTAGGATTTTAAATGAGACATTTTAATATAAATTTTAGAATACCAGTTATGACTTCTAAATCTCCATCACTGGAATCCAAAACTTATGAGACCAAAACCAAAAAAATACTATTAGGGCTCAATGTGGTGTCTGAAATTTGCAGATGTTATTTCCAGATTCTTAAATATATATTGATATTTTGGAAGAGAGTAGTAAAATACTGAAAAACAAAATAAGGGATGTGATAGAAAAAAGATGAAAAAGAAGAAGAATCTCAATGGATGACATGGAAACACTGGCAGCTGGCTGAGAGAAAATGGATTTAGAAGTGGTGAATGAATCCAAGTACAGGGAGAAAGTTATGAAAGAATGGAAGATTACATTGTGCAATAAAATGAATATTATCTGAGATTCTCAACAAATGAGAATGTAAAGGCACCCGATAGAGAGAATTAGATTCATACATGGTCAACAAATGAATCCACCAATGGAAAGAGTTTTAAAATTTAGATAATGGAGATAAAGGTAAATAAATGTCTATAGAAATATGAAAACCAAGATGTTTCCCTCTGTGGGCAGTTCATTTTGTGTATATGCTAGAAACTCATCATTACTTTTCTGGTAGAATTCTGTTCCATATGCTTGTTCTATGGATCTAAAGATCTCTCCATCTTTACCTTGACTTGTTCTTTCTTTATTATCTGCTTTGTTGTCCCCGAATATCTTTCACTCCAGCTCTCTATTCATTCATCAAGACAATGTTTTGAAGAATCACAGAAAAAATATGCTTCGTGTGTTAGGGAAAAATATCAAAGATAGCAAACAAATATTTGAAGAAGAAATGTTGAAGAATTGAAGAAGTATTTTCTTCAGAAATATTTTCCTTAACATTTAAAGAACATACAGCAAATAGTATTGTAGAAGGTTTTTTAGTTATTTTCTACAGGAGCTTGAGAGACAGTCTCTAAGGATATCTGTCTTTAATTTCCCATG